CCACCGTGCTGTCCCCACACTGACAATGCTGGGCACATGCCATCATCCCACCACGGCCCCACTGTGCTGTCCCCACACTGGACATATCATCGACCCATCATATCCCCATTGCACTGTTCCCACACCAGCCATGCTGGGCTCATGTCACTGTCACACCATGGCCCCACTGTGCTGTCCCCACACCAGCTATGCTGTACATGTCATCACCCCATCGTGGCCCCACCATGCACACCCCACACCATCCATACTGGGCCCATGCCACTGCTCTACCGTGTCCCCAGTGTGCTGTCCCCACACTAGCCATGTCACCACCCCATCCTGACCCCACACCATCCGTACTGGACCCATGCCACTGCCACACTGTGAACCCACTGTGCTGTCCTCACACCGGCCATGCCATCACTCCACCATGACCCACACCAGCCATGCTGGGCCGATGCCATTACCCCACTGTGTCCCCACCATGCTGACCCCACACTGGCCATGTCATCATCACCCCAACGCGGACCCCACACCAGCCATACTGGGCCCATGCCATTGTCACACCACGCTGCCCCCACACCAGCTATGCTGCACGTCATCACCCCATCATGTCCCCACTGTGCTGATCCCACACCAGCCATGCTAAGCCCATGCCATTGCGCCAGTGTGTCCCCACCGTGCTGACCCCACACCATCCAGGCTGGACCCATGCCATTACCCCAGTGTGTCCCCACCGTGCTGACCCCACACCATCCAGGCTGGACCCATGCCGTTACCCCAGTGTGTCCCCACCGTGCTGACCCCACACCATCCAGGCTGGACCCATGCCATTACCCCAGTGTGTCCCCACTGTGCTGACCCCACACCATCCATGCTGGATCCATGCCATTACCCCAGTGTGTCCCCACTGTGCTGACCCCACACCATCCATGCTGGATCCATGCCATTACCCCAGTGTGTCCCCACCGTGCTGACCCCACACCACCCATGCCATTGCCCCACTGTCCCCCCACGGCGCTGTTCCCACACTGGCCATGTCATGACCCCACTGTCACCCACACCAGACCCACATCGCTGCCCCAATGCCCCACATCTCTTCCACCTCTGGTCCTCTCCCACCCCATTTCCCCCCCCCCCCTCCCCTCCATTAAGGAACCCCCTCCCCATCCTCACAGCTCCTGGCCCCGCCCCTCCCCTTAGGCCCCGCCCCTTCCGTTTAAGCCCCGCCCCCCGTCCCCTCCCGCCCCGCAGCCCCCCCGTCCCCGCCGCACTCACGCGGGCGGTTCTTGCGGGCCGAGTCCCGCCGCTGCTGGCTGACGGAGCCGATCCGATCTCGGGGCTGCGGCCCCGCCGCGCTGTCAGCGCCCGCCGCGCCACCACCACCGCCGCTGCTCCTCCGCCTCGGAGCTCCGGCGTCCGCCCCCACCCCTCGCCGCCGCGGCTTCTCCTCCGCGCCACCGCCGCCGTTGCGCAGCGGCTCCATGCGAGGCGCGGCCCGGCCCCATGGGCCGCTCAGCCCCGCCGAGCCGCGCTCCCCCTCAGCCGCCGCAGCCGCCGCCTGCACCGCGCCTGCGCCTAACGGCCCCCTGCGCCCCCGGCCCCGCGAGGGCGGGAGAGGCAGTGAGGGAGTAACCAATCAGCGCGCTCCGCGGCGCGGAGTGACAGGTGGGTTAGCCAATGGGACGCTGGGATTGGGCGAGAGCGGTGCTCTAGGCCCTCCTCCTGCGCTCCGCCGCGGAAAGTGACTAGCGCGGCTGCCCAATGGAATGCGCGGGCTGAGCAGGGGGCGGGGATTGCGGCAGTGATGGCCAATGGGTGTCCTTTGCGAAGAGATTGACAGAACAGCTGACCAATGAGATGAGGCAGACTGGCTGATTGACAGTCAGGGTCACTATGGCAACGCAGACGGGGGGGCGCAGCAGGCCTGGCGGGGTTGTGGCGGGCTGCTTTGCATACGATTTGCATATGCAATCGGACAGATGCAATTAGCGAGACCCCTCAGCCCCTCATTATGGGGTGGCTCTAGGGGCTGCCAGACCCCAACATGTCGGGTCTGTGCCCCGCAGCCCTCCCAGGGCCTAGACCTCGTGTTCCCTGCCCGCACCTCGTCCCTTCCCACTGCCTCCCTGCGGGGAGCGCAGGGCTGGAGCCGCCGGTCCCAAAGGGTGCTGCCCCCCCCGGCCATGGCAATGCCATGGACACAAGGTGAAGTGGAATCGGAGGACAAATAAGAGGGCTCCGGACGTGATGAGAGAGCTGGGGCTGTCAAGGGACAGCAGGAAGAGCAGTGCCCCTTCACATGGCTTCAGGGACCAAGCTGGATCCAAACTCCCAGTGAGGGCAGCGGAAAACACTCCAGTTCTACAAAGACCGTGGAAGTTCAGTGGATACAAGAAGATGGGAACCAAGATCAGAGGTTTAGGAGGAAAGACAAAGAGTTAAGGATCCGGGATACATCCTCAACTCTCCTGTATCACAGTGTAACTGTGTCCAGTTCTGGGCCCCACAGTTCAAGAAGGACAGGGAATTGCTTGAAAGAGTCCAGCGCAGAGCTACAAAGATGATTAAGGGAGTGGAACATCTCCCTTATGAGGAGAGGCTGAGGGAGCTGGGACTCTTTAGCTTGGAGAAGAGGAGACTGAGGGGTGACCTCATCAATGTTTACAAATGTGTAAAGGGTGAGTGTCAGGATGATGGAGCTAGGTTTTTTTCAGTGATGTCCAGTGCTAGGACAAGGGGCAATGGGTGTAAACTGGAGCATAGGAGGTTCCATGGGAACATCAGGAAAAATTTCTTTCCTGTGAGAGTGACAGAGCACTGGAACGGGTTGCCCAGGGGGGTTGTGGAGCCTCCTACATTGGAGGTATTCAAGGCCCGCCTGGACAAGTTCCTGTGTGATGTACTCTAGGTTACCCTGCTCTTGCAGGGGGGTTGGACTAGATGATCTTTTGAGGTCCCTTCCAACCCTTAGGATTCTGTGATCCCCCTTGTCTCAAGCCCCTCTCCAGCTTTCCTGCAGCCCCTTTAGGCACTGGAGCTGCTCTAAGGTCTCCCCTTCAGGAGCTTTCTCTTCTCCAGGCTGACCCAGCCCAGCTCTTAAACAGGAAACGTTTGAAGAGGAGAACACTGAAGAGGAAAACAGACTCCCAGACTGTAAGATGCTGCAACAGCTCCCATTGTAACACAGTGGAGATTCCCAGGTGGAATGTTCTCAGGTGGAACATTAATTGATGTCCAGTGTACCCAGAGCACAGCCAAGCATGGAGCTGCAGCCCAGTGACCCTCAGTGCTCTTGTGCTCTTCACCTGCACCACATTAATCTCAGCTCACCGCAATCCTCAGGCATTAACTCCATACCAAAGGGATATAAAGTGAGTGACATTGCAAAGAAGTGGGATAATTCCAGTGAGAGTTTGCTCAATTGTGGCAAAAACAGGACAAAAAGAATGCTCAGATTTAGTTTGGGTCATTTGAATGTCCTGTTGGGCACATGCAGGGAGGATATAGATGGGGTTGGTACTGATATGAGATAAAGTATAACTGATCTGAGGAAAAATAACCCTTCATTCAAATGTTGCCTTCATTTTGTTAAGGAATGAACTCACTGAGTGAAGCTCAGGGTGTTTCCAATACCAGCCCTGAACGTGTTCCATGTACCTGGGTTGTAAATCAAGCTGGGAAAGCAGGAAGTGAGGAAAGCCAGTGGGATGGGCTGAGGCTCTTGGGAGGCAGCGCCGAGAGGACATGTAATGCTGCTGGAAAGGGCCATTTCTCTCCTGCTGCTTGAAAGCTTCCTATGTGTTCCCAAAAGGCACGTGCCACAGGCTGGCTAACCCCAGGGCAGCAAGGGGGGAGAGCTGGAGCTGGGCACAAAGGTGGTCTTGGTGATGCTGGTATCTCTTTTGTGCTGGTCAGGCCAAGCCTGAAGCTGTTCAGTAGACAAGGAATGGTTCCTGCACACCAGAGCTGAGCCTGGGATAGCAAAGTTGGCCCAGCTCCCTTTTCTGTGCAGGATCCTGGTATCTGATTCAACCAGAGACCTGGGAGAATCTGGATCATAGAATCATGGGATGGTTTGGGTTGGAAGGGACCTTGAAGCTCATCCAGTTCCAATCCCCTGCCGCGAACCTGAGGGTTAATAGCATGTAACCAGTGGCAGGTAATCACACTGGATGTAACCAGGTAGATACCATGAGCAGATGTGTGCTGAGGTGGACAGGATGCACCAAGACACAGCTCATGCTTCTTCATGATTTAGATTGGATATTAGGAAGATTAGAAAGATGAGATGAGATGTTCAGAAGATTGGATAGATTTGGATTAGACCTTAGGCACAAGTTCTTTACTGAGAGGGTGCTGAGGCGCTGGCACAGGGTGCCCAGAGAAGCTGTGGCTGCCCCATCCCTGGCAGTGTTCAAGGCCAGGTTGGACACAGGGGCTTGGAGCAAGCTGCTCTAGTGGAAGGTGTCCCTGTCCATGGCAGGGGCTGGAACTGGACAAGCTTTAAGGTCCCTTCCAACCCAAACCAGTCTGGGATTCTATGATATGCAGGAGAAAAGTTCTCCAAGAAATCCAAATGCAGCTCCATGGAAAAGATCCAACTCCCACCAATGGAGTTCCTTTGAATTGTATATGGCAGAAGCAGCTTTCTTCAAAAGTACCTTTTATCTTAAATGGGAATCCCAATGCACATGAACTGCTGCAACCCTCTCCCCAAAACGCAGAGGAATCATGGAATCAACCAGGTTGATGACCTTTAAGATCATCAAGTCCAATCATTATTCCAGCATTGCCAAGGCCACCATTAACCCATGTCACTGAGAGCCCACTGTAGATCCATCTACAGGCTGGATGGATCCTTCTTTGTGGCTTCCATTCCCTGAGAAGCCAAGTGAGGTGATTTAATTCTCCAACGATCTTCTCCATATACATTTCCTTGCTCTATAGGCTCCATAGAAAAGAAGCTGAGCTCCATCCCCTTGCTGATACAAACACACACATGTGGAACCTCACAAGTGGACTGTGAAGTGACAAATGGTTTTATTACAGTTAGTAAAAAGCTTTTTGTCTTTGTTGAAGGTGTCAAGGACACGAGTTCAAGTTCCCTCCTGCAGATTCACCTGCTGAGGATGCTTAAAGTGCTACATTAACTGCGAAGATGCCAGCACTTCACAGCAGAAAACTGAACCTAAGGAGTGACAAATCCAGTGTTTCACAAGTGATCTGATGTGAAGAGGCAACAGGCACTACTGAGAAGTAGCAGGAAAATATGTGAAGGATGTTACAGGCAAGTAAAGCAGCAGAGAAAAGGGCCCTGGTACAGATGCTGCCGGTTTGGGATCTCATAGGTGTCCTCAAATCATGCAGAAAGCATGTGGAGAATCATAGAATCAACCAAGTTGAAACGGACCTTTAAGATCAAGTCCAAGTGTTAACACAGCACTGCCAAGGCCACCACTAACCCGTGTCCCAAAGCACTACATCCACACGCTGGGCTTGTTCAGCCTGGAGAAGGCTCCAGGGAGACCTTAGAGCAGCTCCAGTGCCTAAACGGGCTACAGGAAACCTGGAGAGGGGCTTGGGACAAGGGCCTTTAGGGACAGGCCAAGGGGAATGGCTTGAACCTGCCAGAGGGGAGACTGAGATGAGCTCTTAGGCAGAAGCTCTTCCCTGTGAGGGTGCTGAGGCGCTGGCACAGGGTGCCCAGAGAAGCTGTGGCTGCCCCATCCCTGGCAGTGTTCAAGGCCAGGTTGGACACAGGGGCTTGGAGCAAGCTGCTCTAGTGGAAGGTGTCCCTGCCTGTGGCAGGGGCTGGAGCTGGAGGAGCTTTAAGGTCCTTTCCAGCCCAAACCATTCTATGATATAATGCTATGATACAAAGCTGGTTAGATGTGGCTCTTTTCTGACCCTCAGCTTCATCCCCAGCAGAGACAAGCAAAGGTCCCTGCAGCAGAGCCAGAGATATCAGTAAGGCAAATTCAACATGAGGCACCTGGTGAAGGCCACTGCACAGACCCTCAGGCTTGTTTTTAAGCTAGGAAGACCAAAACCAACAGAATCGGGTCCACTTTTACACACTGCGTGGAGGGACCACGGGCAAGGCGGGTCACCCTTTGAACCACCAGGACACATTTCCCTGGGACCAAACAAGGAAGATGTGGAGCATCACCATGAGGCCTTTCATTTTTCACTTAAGGGATCACTCCCTGAGCAAGACCCTCCCTACGGGTGTAAAAGGAGAAGGCTACAGATGAGAATATGGTTGGGAAACAGGAGGAACAGACCAGAACCCAACAGCATCATCCAATGAAGGCCTCTTCCAGCAGAACCTTCCAGAAATAGATTTAACAACATCCCTACCATCCCCGCTGCTGCTCCTTAGGCTTCAGATGTGTTGGCCAAATCCCTGCCGTGAAGAGGACCTGCTGAGTGACCCTCACTTCTGCCATCGAGTGCACACCAGGAATGCCAGCACTGAAATCGCAGCGATGCCCACAGTTGGGATGAGGTATGACCGGGATGGCCAGTTGCTGTCACTTGAGAGGTCACTGCCCTGAGACAACCTGGTCACAGAGTTAAAACCTAAGTTTCCAGTGGGATTGGCTCTGTCTTGGAAGTCGTTGCCAGCCGCAAGCTGGACGCTGGGGTGATGCTCCACGTAGACCTCATGGGTGCTGCTCCAGCTTGGAAGTGGATGAGAGTCTCTGCTTGCTCCAGCTGATGCCTCTTCCCCAGGTTCTGGTGCTGGGCATCCTAATGAGACTCTGGGCAGTGCTTCTCCTGAGCTGGAGCTCCCTGTGCTTATCAAGAGAGGGTCACTCCTGAAGGTGAGGCTGCTGGACACACTGGAACAGGGGCCACTGAGGCATCTGCCACTTGCTTCTGGGCTGTCCCCAGCCATGGAGAGGAGGACACCCAGCTTGCTGGGCTCCACGTCCCCCTCCACATTGCTGCAGGATGTCCAGATGGTGGTGGCAGAGCTCACCCGGTGGGATGCCCTCCCAGATATGCTTCCTGCAGCAGCTGTGTCCAGGAGATGGTCCGCAGAGGCCGGGAGCACCTGTGGGAGACAAGCAGAGCAGCTGGGTGCCATGGGAAGCACCCATTTGGCTGGTCTCGGGCACATATGTGACACGACAAGCCCACTTCAGTGCCCAGCAACCACATCACCAGCTGCTGACAGTGAGGGTGGGCCATGGGTAGTGAGTGGGGCTGGAAGAGTGAACAGGGCTCCACGGAGCCTTTGGGACTGGGGGAGTTAAGGGAAGAAAAGGAACAAAGGAAGGGGCAAGGAAGGAAGAGGGGGCAAGGAAGGAAGGGGGGGCAAGGAAGGAAGAGTGGGGAAAAAGGAAGGAATGGGGGGAAAAAAGGAAGGGGGGAAAAAGAAAGGAAGGGGGGAAGGAAAGAAGGAAGGAGGGAAGGAAGGAAGAGGGGGAAAAGGAAGGAATGGGGGAAAGGAAGGAAGGGGGGAAGGAAGAAAGGGGGAAAGGAAGAAAGAAAAGGGGCGAAAAGGAAGGAAAGGGGGAAAATGAAAGAAAGGGGGTGAAAGGAAGGAAGGGGGGAAAAAGGAAGGCAGGAGGGAAATTAATTAAAAAAGGAAGCAAAACTGGATGAAGGGAGGAAGCAGAAAGGAAGATCAGCAGCAAGGAGAGTGGTGGAAAGAGGCAGCTGCAAGGCTGGACACTGACGGGCAATTCAAGGAGGGATATGAGGAGCCAAAGCCCCACCAGCTCTGGCTCCCTTCTCCCATGCTCCAGAATACAGGAGCAATAGGAACACAGTGGGGAAAAGCCCTGAATGAACTCACCAGCAGCCCAAAACCTGACACTGCAACAGAACACCTCCCAGTCTGGGGAGTTCACAAGGGATGTGAATGAAAGCAAGTGGTAATGGGAAAGGTCACCTACGTGCTCCTTCAGTGGCATGGAAGGGGTGCTGGTGGCTGTCACCCCCATGGGCATTTTATTCTCTTGTCCAGGCTTCACAGAGCTGTCACAGGATGGGGAAGTGTCTCTGGGCATACAGTGCGTCCAAGTGTTTGCTAGAGAGAAAACAAAAGGTATTGTGTTCATAACTTGTTCGAGAGGCTTGCTATTCCTCAAGGATGCTGCAATAGGATACTCCTAGAGATGAGGAGGTTGTTTTTGAACACTTCCAGGGGTGGTGACTCCAGCCCTGCCCTGGGCAGCCTGTTCCAATGCCTGAGCACCCTCTGTGGAAGGAATTGTTCCTCAGCTCCATCTAAACCTGCCCTGGGGCAGCTTGAGGCCGTTTCCTCTAGTCCCATCCCTTGGTCCTTGGGAGCAGAGCCCAGCCCCTCCTGGCTCCATCCTCCTGTCAGGCACTTGTAGGGAGCCATCAGGTCCCCCCTGAGCCTTCTCTTCTCCACACTGAACCCCCCAGGTCCCTCAGCCCTTCCCCATCACACTTGTGCTCCAGGCCCTGCACCAGCTCCAGTGCCCTTCTCTGGCCCCACTCCAGAACCTCAATGTCTCTCCTGTAGTGAAGAATATCCAGCAGCACCACAGTTGCTACATGGCTCTGCCAGGCAGGAAACCCACCTCCATCTCCTCCGTGCTCTCCCAGCATCCTGACCAGCTTCTGCTCTGCATCAAACTGCTGCTGTACCAGGAGGGGGCTGTGCACATCCACAAAGCTTCCCAGGTGCTCACCATGCTCTGGGACAGACACAGCCTGGTTTTGGGGCAGCGACTTCAGGGGCTGCATCTCCCCGCTGCGAGTGGCCTCCTCCAGTTTCGGGGGTGACTCAATGGAGACGTATGAGTCCTCCTGGGGCTCATTCCTGGGCTGCCGGGGGCTGTGAGCAGCCTCTGCATCCCGTGATGGATGAGACCTGCCCAGGCCCAAGCCTGGTATACCACGATGGAGGTGGTTGGCATTTCCAAAGCATCCGTTGTCCACACACACCGGGTGCTGTGGGCGGCTCAGCCAGTCCCGGCCACACTCGCTGGGCACAGCTGAAGGCACAGACATGGTGCCTGTCCCAGGGGTCCCCACTGGTGCCTGCATGTCCTCAGTGGGGTGACAGTGATACCCCTCAGCGCTGTGCCCAGTGCTCACTCCATCATGGGTTGTGCTCCTAGGCAGGGGCAGCTGGGGCGTCTCTTGCTGCAGGATTTTGGGGAGCTGGAAGGAAACCATAGAATGGTTTGTGCTGGAAGGGACGTTAAAGCTCCTCCAGTTCCAATCCCTGCCATGGGCAGGGACACCTTCCACTAGAGCAGCTTGCTCCAAGCCCCTGTGTCTAACCTGGCCTTGAACACTGCCAGGCATGGGGCAGCCACAGCCTCAGCACCCTCACAGGGAAGAGCTTCTGCCTAAGAGCTCATCTCAGTCTCCCCTCTGGCAAGTTAAAGCCATTCCCCTTGGGCTGTCCCTAAAGGCCCTTGTCCAAAGCCCCTCTCCAGCTTTCCTGTAGCCCCTTTAGGCACTGAAGCTGCTCTAAGATCTCCCCTTAAGGAGCCTTCTCTTCTGCAGGCTGACCCAGCCCAGCTCTCTCAGCCTGGCTCCAGAGCAGAGCTGCTCCAGCCTGTAACTCCAGTTATAGGGTGTAAGTTACCAGGTGCAGCAATGATCAGCAGCACGAGGCTGCTTGGGATATCCCTGCACAAGCAAGGCCCTACCATGGGCTCCCCTTACCACATAGCTCTGGTCCAAAAGGGACTTTTGTACCCCCATCTGACACGTCACACTCACTGATTCCTGCAATGGTATCCTGGCATCCAGGTCCGTGCTTGTGGTGGTGGCAGCACCGGGCAGGTCTTGGTGTGGCTGCTCAGCCAAAGGGACACCCGGAGCAGGGTCGGGAGCTGGGGACAGTGTCTGGACCGCGGTGGAGGTGACAGTGGGACGGGCATTGCTGGCTGCAGGAGGGGAGGAGGCAGCTGGGGGAGCTGGGGGACCTGGAGGAACCAAGGTGGTTTGTGAGCATGGACACTGAGGGAAACGCCAACGAGGCAAAGGATGAGCATGGGGCTGAGGCAGCCCCTCACATGCTCCTGCTCTGTCCCAATCCCACAGCACCCCTTCATTCATCCTTCCATCTCCTCCCAAGGTTCTTCCTTCAAACAAGGACCCCATCATTCTTAGCCACATCACCAGGGTGATGGACATCCCTGGGGACAGTCAGACACCCCCAGGAAGCCAGCGCAGGGAGAGCTCAGACACCAGGACGTGTGGTTCGGATCCCCATGTCCCCCAGACCCCCAGGCCAGCCTCCAAGGACACTGAGGCTACCTACAGGGTTGCCAGGAGTCATACACGTGCTGCAGCTCATCTGCCAGGTCCCCGGCGTTGTTCTGGCGCAGCGCCTCGATGAGGTCCCTCACCCAGCCCTGCCGGCACTTCAGGTACTGATAGAACTTGTAGACAGTGGCCTGGCTGCCTCGTGCTTCCTCCCGGGCATGGAGCTCATCCTGAATAAACCAGATACAGGGAGCTAAGAGAGGGTCTGCCTTAGAGGTGGGGTGGGTGTATGTTGCCTGAGCTGTATTATAGAATCCCAGACTGGTTTATGATGGAAGGGACCTTAAAGCTCACCCAGCTCCAACCCCTGCCATGGGCAGGGACCCCTTCCACTGGAACAGCTTGCTCCAAGCCCCTGTGTCCAACCTGGCCTTGAACACTGCCAGGGATGGGGCAGCCACAGCTTCTCTGGGCACCCTGTGCCAGCGCCTCAGCATCCTCACAGGGAAGAGCTTCTGCCTAAGAGCTCATCTCAGTCTCCCCTCTGGCAGGTTAAAGCCATTCCCCTTGGCCTGGCCCTACAGGCCCGAATGAAGAGTCCCTCTCCAGCATCCCTGTAGCCCGCTTCAGATACTGGAAGGCTGCTCTGAGGTCTCTACGCAGCCTTCTCTTCTCCAGGCTGAACAGCCCAAATGCTCTGAGCCTCTCTTCATATGGGAGGTGATCCAGCCCCTGACCATCCTCATGGCCTCCTCACCTGCTGTGGAAGGAGCCCAGCAGGAACTCGGGAAAGCAGGCACTTACTCTGTCAGCATCAGTGAGGCAGCTCAGGGAATCAGCCAGCGTCGCCACACGGATGTTCCTGAAATTCCTGAGGTTTCTCATAATGTAGTCGTACACTTTCTCTTCAGCAAAGCCCATCCTGGCTCAGCACCTGCTGAGAGAGAGACGCTTAACTGGAGTGCAGGGCTGCTGGCAATGCTCAGCTTTTCCATAGGAGCTCAGGCTTTTCCATGGGAGCTCAGGCTTTTCCACGGAGCCTGGTCCCTCAGCGCTCAGCCTCCCTGTGGTGGCAACCGGCGCAGGGGGAAATCCAGAGCGGAAAACACACAAAGAGGAAACTCTCAGTTTCAAGCTGAACTCTCGACTCTGTTTTTGCAACCCAGCCTCCCCCTGGCTGCTGTCCAGCCCCTGTTTATCCTCATGCCTGCTGCAGCCGGATGGATCCCACTGCGTTCTCGTGACAATATCGCGACAGGAGCAGCGCGAGGGTCACGCCGGGCCAAGGGGAACAAGGCCAAGGCCGAGGGCGACGAGGCTGATCCCTGAAGCAGCAAAGGAAGGAGGAACCGCAGGAAAGGGAAAGGGAAACCCGCCCCGCCGGGCCTGCCTGCTCCCACGGGAGCTCTGGGAACGGTTGTGCTGGAAATAAACCTCAAACCACCGCCGGGCCCCCCTGCTCGGCGGACTGAGGTATCGGATCGAATGGAATTCGATGGGATACACCGGGATACACCGACACCACCCTCCCCTCACAGCCCCTACCTGCGCCCGCCGCCTCCGCTACGCGCTGTGGGCACGGCTCTAAGCCCGCCCACCCCTCGCTTCTCCGCCGCTGATTGGTGGCCGGCCAAGCCCGTTCGCGGTGATTGGCAGGCGCTGTGAGGCGAGGGCGGGAAGTGCCTGCCCTCTCCTCGACGGGGCGGCGGTTCCGTGCCCGGCCCTCACCCGGTGGCAACGGGGCGGGCCCGGCCCTCACCCGGTGGCGGCAGGGGGCAGCAGCGCACCGGGAACGTCCTGCGTGTGCCCGCCCCTCGTCCCGCCCCGCTCTGTCAGCGCAGCGCGCCCTGCATGGAGCCGCACCATGGCGGCAGCGGCGGCGGCGGCGGGAGCGGGCGGGCGGCGGCGGGGGCGCCGCTGAGGGCCGGCAGCCCCGCGGCGGGGCTCTGAGGGGCGGCGGGGCCTTTCCCCCCCTTCCCCTCTCCCTTCCCTTCTTTCCCTTCCCCTTCTTTCCCCCTTCCCTTCCCTTCTTCCCGACCCCCGCGCCCTTCTCCCGGCGCGGCGTCCATGGTCGCGGCCGGCCGCGGCGGCACCGGAGCGGTTGGACGGCGGCGAGAGCCAGCGAGGGCGGAGGAGCGGCCCTGCAGGTGAGGGAGCGCCCGGGGGGGGCGGCGGGAACAGCCTGGCGTTGTTATGGCGACGGGCTGGGCGCGGGGCCCGGCCTGGGGGTGTCCGTGTGGCGTTACCCCCCCCCCGGCATTGTGGGCTTTATTAGTTAATGATAATGATCAATAGTGAATGGCGATAGTGGGGTCGCGACAGCCCCACACACACACCCACACCGGGGGGGGGGGATCCGAGCTGGGCACTCTGCTCACACACCCGGGATCTGGCACATGGGTTGGATCCTGGGATCACCAGATGCCTCTTCCTCCTCTTCCTCCTCTTCCTCCTCTTCCTCCTCTTCCTCCTCTTCCTCCTCTTCCTCCTCTTCCTCCTCTTCCTCCTCTTCCTCCTCTTCCTCCTCTTCCTCCTCTTCCTCCTCTTCCTCCTCTTCCTCCTCTTCCTCCTCTCCCTCCTCTCTCAGGATCACCAGCCCCGTGGACACCATCACTCAGGACATGGGGTTCCAACACTGATCCCCCCCATAAGCAGCTGACCCACCGACTGTCCTCATGGACCCATGGAGCTGCTCAGCAGCTCTTGGCCTGTGCTAAGACCATTGGGCTCGTGGCCCGGCTCCATCCCTGTGCTGTTCCTTAGGGAGATGCTCCAAGCTGGAGCACTGAAGGGGACACTGAGGGCTGTGTCCCCTCCTCATCCAGCTGTATCCACACATCCCGAATGGGAACCTACAAGCTGCCGTGCTCCTGGCTCTCCCACGCTCGGGTAGATCCATCCTCCCTCCTCGGCCAGCTCCTGCTTATTTCTGCTCTTGGATGTCATCAAGGGTGGAAAATGTGACAGGAAGGAAGGGAGGCTTTTTTTTTTTGCCTCCTGCTAAATATGGACTGACATGAAAATCCAAAGAGTGTCCTGAAAGGAATCCCAGCCCCTGTGCTTGCTGGAGGAGGGAAAACCGATGCTTTCTGCCTCTTTGGCTCGGAGGTTCCAGCTGGGAAGTTTCGCAAGGAGTGGTGGCTCCTTCCCGAGAGCCTCAGGAATTTACTTTGCTTGTTCACAGGACGCTCTCTGCAGGAATTACTCATCCTTTCTCTGCCTGCTCCTGGCTGGGGGGAGCTTGCTGGCGGCATGCAGGGTGCATGGAAAATAGGGATCTTTCCTCTCCTGTACAAGGGAAAGGTGGTTTTGATCTTTACTCTGATTCGTGTTGCTGCTGTGGTGGGGAAGGAGGTGCGAGGGGTGTCTGCATTTGGATTCACAAGGAGGATTAATGTCTGGCTCCATCAGGAATCAGATGCTGACTCCAGCCGTTATTCCTATGGTGAGGGTGGGAAATGGGTTCTCGGATGAGGAAGGGAGCCCAGGGATGGTTGTGGCACTGCCAGCTCCCCCAGGTGTCTGCTGTGGTTGAGGTGAGGATGTTTTGGGGGGAACATGGACCACAGCTTCACTGTGGCCTGGAGGTGCTGGTCCTGCCATGTTCCCCCTCCATGTGTTCATCTGCATTCCCATTGGAGAGCTTTTGGGGGGCAGGAAATTCCAGGGTTTTTTTGCCTGGTCTTTATACAAACCATTGGTTAAAGCAATGGGGGGGATACTGGGAGGTGTTGAAAATGGATGCTTCCCGTTTCCAGGGGCATCCCTGGCTCTGGTGCAACTGGATTGGTTTCAAGCTTATGGGATACTGAAACGTCCCTCTCAAATAACCAATGTTCTGTGCCGAGCCGGGATGTTGGGCCAAGTCCAACATCAACATCCTTGTGGAAGAGTTGTTTGAATTCCCTCTCTCCCTGTCTCCTCCTACATCTGTTCTCCTCCAAACCTTCTGTGTCTGCATCCCGATCCCGATCACAGGGAACACCAGGGAGCACGGGGTGGGGTATTTCGTGTGCTTCCATAGGGTTGGGAGCAGCATGGTGGATGCTCAAGATGCTGGTGGTCCTTTATTCTTGGGTGTTGGAAGGGAAGGAGGTCGGCCCATGTGGTCTCATTCACAGATCACGTTTTCCTCTTGAAATAAACCAAATCCCGGGCTTTCCTGTTGTGATGGAGATGATTTGGATGAGACCAGGTCCATAGGCATCTCTGGAGCCTGGGGGCAGAAAGGAGCAAGGGGGAATGGCTTTAACCTGCCAGAGGGGAGACTGAGATGAGCTCTTAGGCAGAAGCTCTTCCCTGGGAGGGTGCTGAGGTGCTGGCACAGGGTGCCCAGAGAAGCTGTGGCTGCCCCATCCCTGGCAGTGTTCAAGGCCAGGTTGGACACAGGGGCTTGGAGCAAGCTGCTGTAGTGGAAGGTGTCCCTGCCCGCGGGAAGGGGTTGGAACTGGATAAGCTTTAAGCTCCCTTCCAACCCAAACCGCTCTGTGGTCCTATGAAACACTAATGGGAAGAGGTCGGAAATGTCCGTGTTGATAGAATGGGCTGATTCATCTCCCTGCTCTTAACTCTTTCCCTCCTGCTTCTCGTTTGCTTCAAAGCTCAGAGGGCAAGGAGACGATCACAGCTCTCCTGTAGCTGGATCACAAAATGCTGCTGGGTTTGTACATGGTGTTTATGTGGTTTGAGCTGGAAAAGGAACGGGCTGTTGGGGGCATGTGGTTATCCGAACCGGATAACCGGAACATCGGCACTCACATTAGGGAGGATTAATATTTAATACATGGGCTATGAACCGTTGTGCTTAATCACTGTCTGAAGGGCTTAGGAAGAGATTTACCCATAAGCAAAGCGATTCCCCAACTGTCCAGAGTGATTCCTTGCCTCTTCCTTGGAAGCAGCTGGTCCTGGATATAGCCAGGGGCTGATCTGATCCTGTTCTCCCTGATGTCTCCAGCTTTTAGGAGCGGGTCGAGTGGCTTTCATCACGAGTGCTTACTTCTCATCATGGAAACCCTTTTGCTCTGGTACAACCCACGTGGCTGCTTTGTAACCCACCAGTTGCTCCTGGAACTGTAGTCTGTGTGGCCCTGCATGTCCTTGCTGCTCCATGTTGAACTGGTTTGAGGCTGGGAAGCAGAGGTGGGAGGTGATGCCTCATGATGACTCTGGTGGGATTGAGGGTTGTGTCTCCATCATGGCAAACCCCACTTTAGGCTGCCTGTGTCCCCCTTCCCTCCTTGCCCCAAACCTCACCTAACTGAGAGCACCACTTGTGGCTATGAAACCCCGTTTGCTGTGGCTACACACGTGGTACTGTGGTCCTTGTGGCTGAAGTTTAGTGGCGGAAGTCAAAGCAACCAAGTGTGGGTTGAGTTTGGCAGTGATGGTCATGTAGGGCATCCTGGTGGCCACTGTGACAGGCTGGAGGTTAGGAATCTTTTAGACTGGAGTGGGGACTGCTTTTCTCCCAGAATACATGTGGGAGAACAGCTCTTTAATACCTTGCTTAGGCAGCAGTGAGTCCTCTTTATTCAAGAATAATTTGTTGTCCTAATTCCTTCCTGTTGAAGCAACTTCGTTTTGCATGGAATAATTAGGACCAATTTGGACCTGGGATGGAAAAGAAGAGTTCTCTGACTTCGGAAGAGTAGAGAAGAGTAGAACCTCTGCTGTGTGAGTCAGGTTGTGCTGTGCCACCCCTTCTGAATGTGAGACCAAACATCCCAGGTTGGTGGGAGGGAGCAGGAAAGCACAGAATCCCAGAGTGGTTTGGGTTGGAAGGAACCTTAAAGCTGATCCAGTTCCAGCCCCTGCCATGGGCAGGGACCCCTTCCACTAGAGCAGCTTGCTCCAAGCCCCCGTGTCCAACCTGGCCTTGAACACTGCCAGGGATGGGGCAGCCACAGCTTCTCTGGGTGCCCTGTGCCAGCGCCTCAGCACCCTCCCAGGGAAGAGCTTCTGCCTAAGAGCTCATCTCAGTCTCCCCTCTGGCAGGTTCAAGCCATTCCCCTTGGCCTGGCCCTACAGGCCCTTGTCCCAAGCCCCTCTCCAGGTTTCTTGTAGCCCCTTTAGGCACTGGGAGCTGCTTTGAGGTCTGCCCAGGAGGTGCAGGTGTCTCCAACCTTCTGCTGTTGCAGGCAGCTGAGGACGTCTGCGGGGAGGGGGAATGGACCACCACCACCTCCTTCCTCCTCGGATAGCACTGAGGAGCAAACAAACCGGACCATTCCCACCACACTGATGTGAGAAGCTGCCTCTGACCAACTTGCAGTATTCCTGGCGCCCTGGCCAAGTACTTGAGACCTTTTTATTGCTGTGACAAGGACTTCCACATCCTGCCCCACAGTCTGACTCGAGGCTATTTTCTGGTCCTTCCAGGAAGACATCCCTGTTCTCCCTTCCTTTGCGTAGTTCAGGGAAGGCAGCCAAATTCCTTCCCTCCCCCAAACCCCTGTGGGTTTGGAGAAGAAGGGGAGGTGTGGGTGTCCTTCCTGGCTTCCCTGGCCTTTACCTGGGAAGCATGGCATGAAGGTACTGTGCGCTTGGTTGTGTCACAGCC